TCTCAAGAAATTATCCAAATCATGCTCTCTAGCTCAAAAAAAGTATAACTTTTAACTACTATAATTTTAGTGACTTAGATAATTCCCCCCATAATTAAATCTTAGATTTAGGAGCCACTGAACTCATGACAAACCTAGTTGACATCTTTCAACTCTTACCTCAATAATAAGAAAATAAAAGTGGCCAATGGCTCCCAAAAAATTATTAGTGGTCAATAATATATTTCAATTTCCCACACGTTTATCTTCAACAATATATTACTTATTCCTTATATTGTCATAAATGTTTTATTTGTACATAAAATAGCCAAAGGAAACAACTACAAGGTAATCATTTTTATTAATTATTGTGCATTTCAAGATCTCCCTATGAGAAAGATGATTAAGCAAGTTAGAGAGAATGATGAGCTGTATATTTTTATAATACAAAAACTGATTATTATACTCCTTTATTTTCACTCGAAACACTAAAATCATTTGGGAGCATCATTATAGGCTAAGGCATCCCTCTTTCAAAACTCTATGAAGTATGATTCCTTTTTCTTAAATGAATATAAATATTGAAATTTTTCATTATGACATTTATGAAATTACAAAATATAATCCTTTAATCTTTTTATGTTAGTTCATTTTGATATATGGGGACCCTCCAAAAACTCTAATATTTTTGGAGCTACTAGATTTGATAATTGCTCGAACGATATGGGTATATCTCATAAAATAAAATTTTAACATTAGGATTATCATCTCCATTTTCATTGTTATGATAAAAATCAATTCAACATCAACATTAAAATATTTCATACTTCAATCACACATTAACTTCTTTCTTTCATAAAGAGGATATCATTTATCAATCCTCTTGGCCTGAAAGTCACCATGACTCTTCTTCTCCATAATCAAGTATCAAAAAGGAATTGACAAAAAGCTATCATTTATCTAATCAAGCCTCTATCTTTGATCTTGATATCCCTACAACACAGACCCAATGAATCTATGCATTGTAACTCTTTAGGACAACACAATAAGATATAATCGTAGCCAGACTCTAGTAAACTTAAGACTCAAAATTGTTATCAAATAACAATGATCAACCGATCGTAACTTCTTCATAATTTTTCTCTTTACATAAGGCCATCCTGGCAAATATTAACTCCAGTTTTAACTCAATACAACAAACTCTATTTGAGGCATTTGAAAATAAGAATTGTTGAAAGAAAAAAAAAAGGTAAAAATGATAGGATGTACGTGAATTTTTTTAGATGATCCTAGAAGTATTTAGCAACTAGGTTAGTTTTAAGCCAACTTTTCTGGCCTTGAGAAAGATGTGACCCATGTCAAGGCTGGCCATGTTCATTATCATAGTCTTTTAAAACTCATAAAGTCTTAGTTATAGGAAACCTAATAAGTTTGGAATGAGATAATACCTAATCTTTAACATCTGATCTTCAAGCATCAACCTATGTCGTAGAAGTTAAGAATGGATCTATTTCACTTTCTTAATACATTTCACACTATCCTTGTCTTAACTTAGGATAACTGACTAGAAGATGGGTAACCCAACTTCTTGTACTTTAAAACACCAGTCTTTGCTCTCTTTTAAGACATAGGTTCAAGGTGGGCTGTCTTAATCATATTTGAACTTTTTATAACCCTAATGATGAAACTCCTAAATTGTAAACGATGTAAATAAATGAACATAAATCATCAATGATTGAAATTAAAATGATGAGGACATCGATCCAAAGTCCAAACATGTGCATCACCGATCGATGGCCATGATTCAGAGCTTATTTTTTTCTAATTTTTATGCATTTTTATTTTTATATTTTCCTATTGTACCCTTATGTTGAGTTGAGTTATGTTGGGGCCCTGAGGGCAATTTAGTCTTTATTTATTCATGTATGCTTGAGACCTATATATATGGGTCTTTCCTCTTGTAATAGCTAATGAAGATTATGAAAATTTGTTTTGATTTCCCTTGTCTTCTTCTTTTCTCATTGTGGAGAGTTAGAGAGGAGAGTGAAAGCCCAAGGTGAGGGCGAAACGCAATACCCACCAGTCATTGGAAGAGTCCGTGGCTCGTGGTCTATATCCCGCATCCGATTCCCCTCCTCCTCCCCAACCCGCCGGCCTCCCACTTCCTATAGCCGCCGGCCTCCTTCCACCACCACCATCCGGTGGTGACATTTTAAACATCGGTTTAATCCCCGTCCCCTCAAATTCAGATTTTGAAAATTCAAAATTTGAATTTCAAAATCTTTCCTATTTTAGAAATTCCAAATTAGGAAAGTTTTGAATTCGTTTCATGACAAATTCCAAATTTCAAATGGATTTTGTTTTAGTTCTTTTCAAATCTCATGCAAGCAATTTTGGAAGCCACCCACTAGCACCCACACCAAATCCCTCCTTCTAGAAGCCGCCGGCCCCCCTCATGGAGATTTCCCATTAAATGCTAGTTTAATGCCTTGACCGTTTTGGAATTCTAATTGGATTTCAAAATTTTCCCTCCCGATTTACTTAAAACTGAAATTAACTTCAGTTTTAAGTTTCAAACCTTATTTCCCTCCCCCTAACCATGCCGCCGGCCACCTTTTAATGAGCCCCTTTAATGGCTCATTAAATCCCCTCTTAACTCCATCTTAATTTGAAACCTCTTTTCAAAATTTTCCCTCCAAACTTACTAAAATCTGAGAATTAACTTCAGATTTTAGTAATTTGCTTGCCACCTCACCCCACCTAACCTCTCTCACCCATTGCACCCGCCTCCTCTCTCTTCCACCTTGGCCGAATTTCTCCTTCCTTGGAAATCCCGCCGGCCACCTCCTCCTCTCCTTGAAGAATCCTCCACGCCAAGCATGTATGGCGGATCCGGAGTTTGAGTGGGGCCTTGTATTCAACGCCGATGGAAGCATCAACATCCTACGATCACCTTGTTTCGACGTAGGATTTGAAGACGAAACGACCGTGGAAGAGTACTTGGAGAGAGTCGTTCCGATCCTTGCAAGCATCTACGACCGACAATTCGCTAAGCACACTTGGAGTCTCGAAAGTCAAGCATTCACGCCCTCCTCGTCATCGCCAACCTCTCCGTGGCTCAAGACCCTTGGCATCGCGACCTTCCTCGTGGCATCGTTTGGTGTGCTGAAATTCTTCTCCCGCAAAGCCTAGTCTAGTTGAGTGAGTATTTCCCCAAGGTGAACTTCTCGTTATTAAATGACGGATTGTTGTAATAGCTTTTAGTGTTGCTATTATTGTTGGTTGTCCGAAGGTTTTTGGCTAATCTACATACTTCTTCGCCTAAGCTAGTTGATAAACGATTTCTTTAATGATTTTCTTGCTATCTCATAAGATATTATTGAAATTACGTTGTCATTCACTTTTAATTTCTTAAGAAGCTCCTTCGCATGTTCGTTCTCATCAATCTGGTTCAAGAGATGGCTGACTGCGATGATTGTGCTAGATTGCACAGGCATTCCTTTTAAGTTCTCCCTAAAAGTTACGTGCATATCATCATTTAGGTGAGCTTATTTTACTGTTTTTCCTACGCTGCCTGAATTTCTGCAATGTTTTACTTCGCATACATATTATTTCATCTGTGTTTAGTGCTGTACTTACATTTCACATGCATAATAGTCTAGGCCACAATTCTTTTGCTGTCCACTGTTTTCTGCAACTTGGTTTCAACCCTAGATGATTCCTGGTGTGGTTAGGTTGCTGGTCCATTTTTCCTGCAGGGGTTAGCTCCCCGTTAGTGGACGCCAGTATCACTATTGGTGTGCCTTCACCTAAACCTTGCCTAAACAATTAGGTAACTTCCCCTTGTGTGCTTTGCTGCCAACACTTTCCTGCTGCTGTAAACTTCAACTTTCGGAGCAAGTGTTTCAGTGAATAGCTGTTGTTCCTGACTTAGGA